GTGGTTCCACAGTCTCTGTCAGTTCATATGTGCCTCAGTCCTATTGTGTCTGGAGTATATTGTGTCTTTGGATTCATCAATCAACTCTGGCTCTTACAATCTTTCTCTCATTTCTTTTCTTTCTTTCTTTCTTTTTTTTTTTTTTTTTTTTTTTTCGAGACAGGGTTTCTCTGTGTAGCTTTGCGCCTTTCCTGGAACTCACTTTGGAGACCAGGCTGGCCTCGAACTCACAAAGATCCGCCTGGCTCTGCCTCCCGAGTGCTGGGATTAAAGGCGTGTGCCACCACCACCTGGCTCTCATTTCTATTATATCTCCCTGAGCCCTTTAGGAGAAGGGATTGATAAAGACAACAACACATTTAAGACTGAGAGCTTCAAAATATCTCTTGTGCATTATCCAGTTGTGGGTCTCTGTGTTACTTTCCATATACTTCAAAAAGAAGTTTCTCTGATGATGGCTGAGTGAGAAACTGATATAGGTAAAGCAGAATGTCATTAGGAGTCATTATTGCTGTCTTTTAGCAGCATAATAGCATTTTGTTTTCCTCTAAGCCCATGCTCTCTATAGTCTCAAGTTCTTGGCCACTTTAACTGTGTGAGGCATGGGTTCTATCTTGCAGAGTGCATCTTAAATCCAATCAGGTTTGCTAGCATTTTACTGAAGATATTTGCATGTATGTTCATCAGTATTATTAGTCTGTGCTGTTGTTGTATCTTCAGCTCGAATGGGCATGAGAGTATACTGCCTTCATAGAATGAGTTTTGAGTGATACTTCCATTTCTATTTTTGAAGGGTTTAAGAAGGAATTTTAGTTCTTTGAATGCCTGGATGAATTCTGCTGTTAATCCATCTATAACTAGACTTTTTAATCAGAAGGATTTGTATAACCGTATCAGTATCCTCTTTTGTTACAGATCTATTTAGTTTGTTAATTTCTTCTTGGTTAAACTTTGGTAGTTCATATGAATCAAGAAATTAATCCATTTCTTTTAGATTTTCCAACTTAATGGACAACAGGTTTTAAAGTATTTTCTTGCCATATTCTGTATTTCTTTTGTGCCTATTGTAAAATCTCTCTGTTTATGTCTGATTCTGTTAACTTTAGTCATCTCTTTCAATATTTTGTTCAGTTGTGCTAAGGGTTGGTTGATCTTGTTTATCTTCTCATATAACCAGCTCTTTTTTAATTTTATTTTTTATTTAAGAATATTTTTATTTATCTTACATACCAACCACAGATCCCCCTCGCATCCCTCCTCTCACTCCTCCCCCAGCCTTCCTCCCCCAATCATCCCCCTATACCCTCCTCCAAAAGGATAAGTTCTCCCATGGGGAGTAAGCAGAGCCTGGTACATTCAGTTGAGGCAGGACCAACCTCCCCACCCCCGCATCAAGGCTGAGCAATTGGTGAATACCCTAACTGTCATCATAGAGCCTTCATCGAGTAACTGATGGAAGCAGATGCAGAGATCCATAGTCAAGCACCAGGCCAAGCTCCGGGAGTCCAGTTGAAGACAGGGAAGATGGATTATAGGACCAGCTCTTAGAGTTTCTATTTGTTTCTATTTCATTAACTGCTGCTTTGACTTTTATTGTTTCTTGCTGTATAGTGGCTTTGGTTTGTTCTTTTTAAAATTCTTGAGGTGCATCCTTAAGTCATTTATTTGTGGTTTTTCTGCTATTTTAATGTAGGCATTTAGGTTGATAGGTTTTTCTTTACACATTACTTGTGTTTATTCTCTTGCCACTTTCACTATTTTTTGTTTATAAATTTAGTGTTGTGACTCTGATGTCTAACAGGGTTTTTCTTTTGGGGTCTTGTCTATTGGGTTTCTGTGTGCCTTTTGAATCTGTATGGAGAAGTTGTCTTTAGTTTAGTGAAGATCTTGTTAAAGATATGTTTTATGTCATTGATCTGCCACTCTTCCCTCTTCTATGTCTATGTTTGAAGATTTAGGCTTTCACAGTGTGCTGGCTAGTATTGAATCTACTTAACACACAAGTTAGGCTTGTGTAATGAGAGAACTTCAGTTGAGAAAATGCCTCCATAAGATCCCCGGTAAGACATTTTCTTAAGTAATGATCAATGAGGGAGGGCCCAAACCATTGTGGTGGTCCTGGAGTCTATAAGAAAGCAGGCTAAGCAAGACAGGGAGAAGCAAGCTAGTAAGAAGCTCCTCTAAATGCCCTCTGCATTAGTTCCTGCCTCCAGGTCCCTGCACTGTGGATTTCCTGTCCTGACTTCCTTTGATGATGAACAGTGATATAGAAGTGTAAGCAAAATAAACTGTTTCCTTCCCAACTTACGTTTTGGTCATGACGCTTTGTCACAGCAATAGAAATCCTAAGACAGGTGGTGTTCCATATCCCTATGTTCCTATGCTATGCTTTTAAAAATATTTATTTTATTTTTTGTGATTATAATATTATTACATCATTTCTCCTTCCCTTTCCACCCTTCAAATCCTCCCACATACCCCTCCATTCTTTTTCAATTTCTTGCTCTCTATTTTTCATTATTTGTTATTACATGTATATGAATATGTATATACACAAACATATATATATATATTCTTAAATGCATAAATACAGCCAGCTAAGTCTGTACAATGTTACATATATATATGTATATACACATGCATACATATATATAATATATATATATTTATTTTAGGGCTCAGTGTTTGGTATTAGATAGTCAATTGGTATATGTTTCCCTGGGTAAAACTATTTCTTCCACTCTCAGGATTCTGATATGGTCATAGTTCTTTGTATAGGATTGAGGCCTCATGGACTTTCCCTCATCCACTTTAGCATGACTATTATTCTCATCCTTGCTCAGCTCGTGTTTAGTCAGTCATATAGTTGGGACTTTAAAAATGTCACTTCTGGTATTACTAGGAAACACAATCTCAAAGCAAACTTTATAATATTCTGGCTCTTATAATCTTTCTTCTCCCTCTTCTGCAATGTTCCATGATCCTTACGTGCGGAAGTTGTGTTGTAGATGTATTAGTTGGAACCTGGCTCTTCAACTGCAGTTTGGAATGGTTGTCATTTTCTGTAATGATCTCCATGTATTGCAAAGAAAATTTTCTTTGATGGAGGATGAGAACTAAGTTATCTGTGTGTATAAGAACAAATAATTTGAATGTAGTTAGGTATTTTGCCCAGCTTAATAAATTTGCAATGATAAGTTTTCCTCTACAATCTATGACTTCACTATTCCTGGGTAGTTGACTAGGTTTCCAGTAACAATTCAGAATTCACACTTGTTGAGTGTATCTTAAGTTCAATTAGAGAACTATTGGTTCTAATAAAAACTAATAAAAACCGAAGTATTTATGCCACAATTGTACCCTTGGTGTTATTGTATCATGTTGGTCATTGTTGTGGTTTATAGGCATCACAGCTGGATAGGACACTTGTTTGCTTCCCCACTTTGGAAGTGTGAATAATGCTTTCTGGTTCCATGAATCTGGAGAATTTGAGGTCATCTCCAACTCAGAAACCTCTGTTCCCTGTGTCTAAAGGTCATGGTATCTTCACAATAGTGACTAACCTTCCACTTCTGGGTGACAAACAAAGGCAATAACATTAGCTTGCAATGTTTTGGGGATCTCTTCAACAACCCTGACCAACAGTTTGAAAAAGGGCTTTTCATGCCTCTTATTGGGTTTTTTATTAGATGGTGCTTTGTTCTTGGAGGGAACATGTCAGCTCAGATGAGAAAATTTCATTTAAACTATATATATTTATCTTTACACACACTTACATGTATTATAGTATATTTTATATAGAAATTTAATTGTATGGTATGATTTCTAATGAAAATTTCAGAACCCCTTATTGTTATTTTACCCTCCTCTCTTCTTCTGTATTTTTCTCCCTCACCTATATGGTACTGTTCCCCTCTCTCCTCTTTCCCTACCCCACAACCCAACATGGGCCCCTTTTACTTTCTTGATTTTTGCAGTTATCCCAGGACATGTACTCACATCTGAAGATTTGGAGCTGGGAGCTTCATATGAGAGAAAACATGTAACTTTCACCTTTCTGGGTTTTGATTTCCTCTCTCAAGTTATCTATTTTCTGCTTTTTAAATTTTTTCTTTGCTTATTTCATCTAGATTATATATTTTATCTTTGAGTCCTAATATTCCATCTTCTGCTTGACTCATTCTATTTATAAAATTTCCCCTGAATTTTCTTTTTCTAATAGAGATATGAAGCTTTTCAATTCCATTGTTGTTTTTCTTTTCTCTTTTACTCTTTTGGTTCTTTGGGGGGCCCACCACCCAGCTCCCAAATTAACCACACACGGAGGCTTATTCTTACCTATAAATGCCCAACCTTAGCTGGCTTGTTTCTTGCATACTTTTCTTAATTTTAATTATCCTGTCTACCATTTGTCACTGGGCTCTTTCTGTTTCTTACTTCTGTATATCTTGTTTGACTTGCACATGTAGACTGCTTTGTTTGTGTCTGATATGATAATCTGCCCTTCTTTAGATTGGGCCAGTGCAAGAAATGTGTCACCTGAGCTGAGCTAGATTAAGCTGGTCAGTGAGCTAAGCCAGGCAAAGAGAGTTCACAAATGGAGAGATTTAAGGGCTATATGTCTGGATCTAAGCTTGTGAGTTTGTATATGTCAGTCGGTTGGATAAAGCAAAGGCAATGAGAAGAAGCTATTTACCCAGGAAAGATGCCACACACCAAGGAGTGTTTGCAGGCCACAGGTCTGGAACTAGGTTTGTGGGTTTGCCAATTGCAGAGGGAGAAGAGGAAAAAAGGGGAATGCAGCTTAACCAAGAAAGGTGGCCCCATACAAAAAGTGTTTGTGGGCTTTCATGAGTCTGGAACTAGGATTGTGGGTTTGCAGATCAATAAAGAATTTCTAAGAGGTACTGCTGATTACAGTTCTACAATGAGGATTTTTAAAGCTTCTCATGGAAAAATCTTTCAATTGAAATCTTTTCATTTCAATATTCTTTTTTTAGGTGGAAGTGAATCCTCCTGGGATAAAGATAAGATACAATCTCCACTTGCTGCTCCTGGACCTCAACATGGAATTGCTCATGCAGCACTGGCTGGCCAGCCCAGCCTTGGGAATGCTCCTACCCTCAATCCACTTCAACAGAATCACCTGCTAAGCAATCGTACGTATACTATACTGAGCAAATTGTATGTTGTAAAAGTACAAGGCAAGACTTTCCAGATACCTTGGAATGCAAGGCTTAGTCTGTTTCTCTTTCACAATGTATAACATTTCAAAACCATAGGAAGAAGTAACGAGTGATTTCTTTGAGAATATGGAATTTATATCATATAGGTAACTGGGGAGGTATAGTAGTAGAGGAAAATAAAAGTATGTAAGTATGTGTGAGGTTGCTAAGCTGAGTAGTAAGGAATGTTGACAAGGACCACACTGATTTGTATCTCAATTCAGTTTTTACAAAATGATAAAACATTGTGTCACTTTGGATAAGTCTTCAAGCAGTTACTACAAATAAAAGGTTCGGATGAAAACATAACTATTTCAGGTTATTCTGAATGCTACAAATTGACAAAGGTAAATATTTTAATAATTAGTTGCATAGAATAATTACTATGTAAATTAATCATTAATATTTCTTAAGAATATGAATATAGATGATTTGTACAAGTCCCTATTTAGATGATCTTTGCATGGGCTTAAATTTTTCTTAAATCTTTCTGCTGTAAAATAGGTCTTTCATCAAGTTACTTGGGTAAAAATACTTTCTTATAAACAAGAATTCCTGTAGAAGAGTCCTATTATTCCTTTTCCTGGGAGTTTAATTCCACCATTAAACCCTGGGGTTGAAGCAATAGAAGAATTTTGAAATAGTTACCCCTCATAATATATCATCACTCGAGTAAGGTTGTATAGTAGTAGTTTATTATAGCCGAAAGAACCAAAAGCTTCAGGTACTATGTATTATGAATTCTCTAGAGAGAAAGAAAAAGAAATCTGTGGTACAGAAAAAGAACACCAGAGGAATATTGAATACCACATATTAGATACATAAAATATTCTAACTCAAATCCTGTTCAACCTAAAACATTTCCCTAAAGACAAAGTTTTCTTAGCCTTCATGCACCTGATAACTCATTTGGGACTTTCAAAAAGCAAACATAGAAAACACATCTCATGAAAAAAAAAGCTTGAAATGCAGGCCAAGAATTGATGAGGTAGCTCAGTAGCTGAAGTGCTTGTCATAGGATCTTTTTTTATTATTAAGCAATTTTTTTCATTCATTTTACATACCAATCAAAGATCCCCTCTTCCCTCTTCCCGCCCCCCAGCCTCCCCTCCTAAACAATCCCCTACTCCCTCCCACAAGAAGGCAAGGCCTCTCATGTGGAGGCACATTCACTAGAGGCAAGTCCAAGCCCCTCCCCCTGCCTCAGGCTGCACAAGGTGTCCCATCGTAGGTAGTGGGCTCCAAAAAGCCTGCTCATGCACCAGAGATGGATTCTGATTCTACCGCCAGGGGGCCCCCAAGCAGATCAGCTGCATAGTTGTCTCACCATGCAGAGGGCCTAGTCCAGTCCCATGTAGGCTTCCCAGCCATTGATCCAGCTTTCATGAGTTCCCTCTAGATTGGTTTGGTCATCCCTGCATGTTTCCCCATCATGATCCTGATGCACTTGCTCATAGAATCCCTCTTCTTTCTCTTTGACTGGACTCCTGGAGCTCTGTCTAGTGATTGGATGTGGATCTGTGCATCTGCTTCCATAAGTCATTGGAGAAAATTTCTGTGTTGACAGTTAGGGTGTTCACCCATCTGATCTCTGGGGCAAGCCAGTTCAGTTCAGGCACCCTCTCCACTATTGCTAGTAGCCCAGGCTGGGGTCATCCTTGGGGATTCCTGGCAACTTCCCTAGCACTGAGTTTTTCTCTATCCACATGATGTCTCTCTCTATCATGGTATCTCTTTCATTGCATTCCCCCTCCCTCCCTGTTCCAGTTCAATCATCCCATTCCTGTATGCTCTTATCCCGTATCCCCTACCCTCCATTGCCCACCCCTCATCCCCAGTTAACTCATGGAGATATCATCTATTTCCCCTTCCCAGGGCGATGCATGCATCCCTCTTTGGGTCTTCCCTGTTAGTTAGCTTCTCTGGAGTTGTGGGTTGTTGCCTGATTACCCTTTGCTTTATATCTAGTATCAACTTATGAATAAGTACATGCCATGTTTGTCCTTCTGAGTCTAGGTTACCTCACTCAGGATGATATTTTCTAGTTCCATCCATTTGCCTGCAAATTTCATGATGTCATTGTTTTTCTCTGCTGAGTAGTACTCCATTGTGTATATGTACCACATTTTCTTAATCCATTCTTCAGTTGAAGGGCATCTAGGTTGTTTCCAGGTTCTGGCTATTATGAATAATGCTGCTATGAACATAGCTGAACATGTGTCTTTGTAGCGTGATTGAGGATTCCTTAGGTATATGCCCAAGAGTGGTATAGCTGGGTCTTGAGGTAGATTGATTGCCGATTTTCTAAGAAACCTCCATATTGATTTCCAAAGTGGCTGTACCAGTTTGTACTCCCACCAACAGTGGAAGAGTGTTCCCCTTGCTCCACATCCTCTCCAACATAGACTCTCTGCAGTGCTTTTGATCTTAGTCATTCTGACAAATGTAAGATGATATCTCAGAGTAGTTTTGATTTGCATCTCCCTGATAATTAAGGATGCTGAGCAATTCCTTAAATGTCTTTCAGCCATTTGAAATTCTCCCTTTGAGAATTCTCTATTTAGCTCTGTAGCCCATTTTTTTAATTGGATTGTTTCTAATTTTGATGTCTAGTTTCTTTGTATATTTTGGAGATAAGCCTTCTGTCATATGTGGGGTTGGTGAAAATCATTTCCCACTCTGTAGGCTGTCATTGTGTCTTATTTATTGTGTCCTTTGCCTTACAGAAGCTTCTCAGTTTCAGGAGGTCCCATTTATTAATTGTTGCTCTCAGTGTCTGTGCTACTGGTGTTATATTTAGGAAGTGATCTCCTGTGCCAATGCATTCAAGACTATTGCCTACCTTCTCTTCTATCAGGTTCAGTGTAACTGGTTTTATATTGAGGTCTTTGATCCACTTGGACTTAAGTTTTGTGCATGGCGATAGATATGGATCTATCTGCAATCTTCTACATGTTGACATGCAGTGCCCTCACTAGAACTCCTTTTAATTATCCTGTTGTTGCCCTCTGTCATGGAGATCCTGAAGCTTCAGGTCTGCAAATCCTGCCCTTCACATGCTCCAGCAGATCACAGATGGGGTGGATGTTGGGGTGGGCCAAGTCATAGCCCTGGTTCTGGGCCTGGGTAGTTGCAAGGTTGGTCATCCAGCCAGATCCCCTTAAAGCTCTTCTTAAGTCCATCTAACAGAATCAGTGAGCTATAAAAACAGACTGAATCTGATCAAAGATAAAGCGGGGAATAGTCTTGAATTCACTGGCACAGGAAAAGAATTTCTGAATAAAACCATTATTAAAGTCACTAAGATTAATAATTATTAAATGGGACCTCATGAAATTGACAGGTGCACAGCAAAGGGCACCATCATTCAAAGCGGGAACCAACAGAATGGGAAATGATTTTTACCAACTACATGTATGATAGAATACAAATATCCAAAGTGTATGAAGAGCTCAAAAAACTAGATATCAGCCGGGCGGTGGTGGCGCATGCCTTTAATCCCAGCACTCGGGAGGCAGAGCCAGGCGGATATCTGTGAGTTTGAGTCCAGCCTGGTCTACAAAGTGAGCTCCAGGACAGGCACCAAAGCTACACAGAGAAACCCTGTCTCGAAAAACCAAAAAAAAAAAAAAAAAAAAAAAAAAACTAGATATCAAGCAAACAAATAACACAATTGAAAACGGTGTACAAATTTAAACAGAATTCTCAAAAGAGGAAACTTAAATATTTGTGGAACACTTAAATGTTCAACATCCTTAGCTGTAAGGAAGATGCAAATCAAAAATGCTTTGAGAGTTCATCTTATACCTGCCAAAATATCTAAGATCAATAAAAAAGGGATAGCTCATGTTGGCAAGGATGAGGAGCAAGAGGAACACTCATCCATTGCTGGTGGGAGTGCAAACTTGTGCAACCACTGTGAAATCAGTGTAGTGGTTCTTCGAGAAGCTGAAAATAGAACTCCCTCAAGATTCAGCTATACCACTCTTGGGTATATAACCAAACAATGCTCCATCCTACCTCAGAAATAATTGCTCTATTTATTTATTTATTTACTTTTATTTAAAAAAATTTTTATTCATTTTACATACCAATCAAAGATTTCCTTCTTCCCTCCTCCCACCCCTGCAGAATGAGGTGAGTACACTGAAGATGAGGCAATAGAGGGTAGGGGATGGGGGATGAGAACATAAGGGATGGTTGAGCTGGAACAGGGATGGAGTTGGATAGCAATGCTGCTCTATTTATAATAGATAGAAATTGGAAATTTGTTGTCCCTCAACAGATAAATGGATAAAGAAAATGTATACTACACAATGGAATATTACTTAACCATTTTAAAAAGTGAAGTCATGGAATTCAAAGACAAATAGAACCAGAAAAATCATCCTCTGTGAGGTAACTCAAACTCAGAAAGACAAACATCACCATGTCCACATATATTTGCTTATATTTGGGTATTAACTGTTGAGTCAATGATAACTGACCTACAATGCATATTGTTATAGAGGTTAGATATAGAGTAATGGACGTGGGCCAGGGTAGGACAGAAAAAGGCACAGATAGATCTTTCTAGGAAAGGGAAATAGAATAGATAGTTATGAGTGGCATGTAGGGGGATTGGAATGGGAGGATCAACTGAGGAGAGAAAGGGAAGAAGGTATGAGGGAGAGAATATGGGGAGAAACAGCTCAAATTAAGGGCCAATTCAAAGGTGCTCTGAAAACCTAATATAGTAGATCCTTCCTAAAATACATACATATGTGAAGGTGATCTAAAAGAAATTGCCAAATAACAGAGAAGACAGTCCCAGCTGGATACCTCTTGTCACCAATGATGCTTCCAGGACTAGGACTGAGTTGTATCTAATTGAGTTGTAGGTCAAAGTGTTTCATGAGAATCCCCAAACAATCCAGTTTGTTGCCAATACTATA